GCGCTTGGTGGGTGTCACCCAGAGATGATCCCACCACAGCCTCTGTTCTGCAGAAACTCCACATTGAAGGTTCAGTGCAAGGCAGCTAGTTTAGAGGCCTGAGCTAAGGACAAAAGGCTCCCTAATTCCCAGTCCCGAGTTCTTAGAGGGCATTCCTGAAAGGCTGTGACCAGGAGGACGAGCTAGTTACCCGGAGGCCGGGAAAGGATCCGCAAAGACCAAGGGACGAGGTCCAGTGACGCGGGGCAGAGCGTGTGCCTGTCTATTTACATTAGTGCGAGGGCCTTCCTTGGAATTTCTAAACAGGGAAGGTGGGAAAACCTTAGCATGAAGTGACTTTATACTGTGTGTGGTGTGGAGGGAGTTCCACGCTGGTTGTGCTTGAATTAACACATATACATAAAATAAGACTAAGACTTCAGGGGTTCTTGCCCGTTCCTGCAGCAGCCTGGGACTTGCTGCCTGGACACAGGCCAGGCTCACTCGCTGATACTACAGAGCTGGCTCTGACGGGGCCGCAGGTGCCTGGTGTTCTGCGATGTGGCTTCAGGGCTTTCCGAAACTCCCGGCACCGCAGGAGGTGCCTCTTGGATGAGTGTTTAGCATCTTCGATTTGGGTTGTGGTCCATGGCTTCGGCGGGCTGTTCTTGGCTTCTCAGCACTCTTCGTTTTCTAGATGGTTCCTCTACTCTTCTTCCTGTAGTGATGCAATCAAGTCATAATCACAGGAGTAATGCGGCCCCAAGGTAGATGTGGTCCCCACCCTACACGGACAGGGTACAGCATTCAACATAAGCCCCCATTGTGTCACCTGCTAACTTAATTTTTTTGTTGAAATACTGTCAGTTATAATGTGTCAATTTCTGGTGTACAACACAGTATCCCTGATCTGCTAACTTTAAAGTCCCAGGATATGGTGACCTTCCCACACGCTGACCTCAAGGCCTCGCCATCCCTCCAGAAGCCAAGAACAGCAGCCCCGTGGCTCTCACAGCATGTTAATTCAATCACGGTGCAGTGACGGCGCTGAGGAAGAGCCTGGGAGCTGGACGGTTATGGGTGTGGAGGCCGTGGTCTCAGGGAAGGGACTAGAGGACAGGTTCTGCCTTGGGGTGACTCCCCTCGGGGTACACTACTCCATCCTCACTTCCCATTTCATCCTCGTGCGTAGTGACTACAGCCCCGCCGTCACACTCTAAAGCCCGGAGTCGCCCCGAGTCCTAGACTTTGCCCAGCCCTTACTCAGCATGTGGGAACATCTGGTTACCTCCTGCCTTGTGCAGAGCTCCCATGGGAGCCCCAAGAACTGCTGTGCTGGGAAATGTTTAACAACCCTCTCTGAAGTTTGCCTGTCTCCATGGTTTCCCGTTACGCCCAGTTTCAGGCTGCCAATCCCTGAACACAGAACTGGGGAGAGATGTGCAGGATGAAACCAGCACACATCGAGTACTTCCTCGATAGGGATACATGGATGCAAATCATGCTGAGACCACAGAAAGCAGCAAAATGTAGTAAAATAATTAGAAAGTGATGAATTTTGAAGACTGAAAATTTTGAAATTTTGAAAACTTTGTTTTAATATAACTTATTTAATTTCAAGTTTATGTACTTTAATTTTTAATAATGGCTGTGCTTAAGAACAGTTTGCAGAATTTCAGAAGATCTAATTTTCGGCTTTCAGGAGCCGGTGTAAGCCTGCCAGCTCTGGCCCTTTGCGGGCTCCTGGTAATTGCTCATAATGAAACCGTAACATGTAGGACTTCTGTTGGGCCACAAGAGGGCAGCCTCAGATGAAATTCGACGCTAGGAAGGATTTTTTTGGACCAGCTCTTCCATAGAGAGGTCAATCTGAGTGTCCGTTTGTGTCTCCTGGAGATTGCAGTTCTGGGAGATCTTGTGGGAACTCACGGTTTCAGGACTTCTTTGTTTGACAACATTAACTCCAAACCTGTACCTCTCCCAGATAGCTTCATCCCCTCTGTGTCTGAAGGCTTTGGGTCTTTAAGCTCCCAAATAGAAAGATGCTTGACAGGTATCAAGTCCTGTCAGTGAAGCAAGGAGAGGAGCTAAGTATTGAGTCCTGACAGTCTTGGGCGCTTTACCGCTTCACCTCACATAATCCTGAAATACATCCCAGGAGTCAGCAGCATGCAGAGTGTGGTAGGCTACCAGGGACGGGAACAGTTCCTACTCTCATAACCTAGAGGGCTTATATTTTGCATGGCAATAATCTGTGCTTTTAAATTCACATGAAACCAAGAGTCTATTGTGGGCCTGACAATCAGCATAAGAATGGAAGGAGGATGGAGGGTACAGCTCAGTGGTAGAGTGCGTGCTTAGCACGCACAAGGTCCTGAGTTCAATCCCTAGTACCATCACCTAAAAAACAAATAAATAAACCTAATTACCTCCCCTCCTCAATACATAAATGAATGAAGTTCTGCTTCTTAAAAAAAAAAAGAATGGAAGGACTCTGATGGTTTCTCTCTGGCTAGGCAAGATTGAGGATCAAAGAGCTTTGGGATTTTGGGGGGGGTGAATCTGTGTCTTCTCAAGGTCTTCCTGGGGGTTTATGCCAGGGTTGGCAGAGTGCACTCTGGGGTGGGGGTAGGGGATTCCCTGGGTAGTGGGGAGAGTCACATAGTAGGTCCTTACAGTCCTCGTCTAAACTGAGGGAGAGACTGGCCGTGTGTGTGTGTGTGTTGTGTGTAATGATTTCACTCTATTGATTCGTCACAGTCAGTGCAGCGGCCCTCCAAGTTTGGTCCCTGGAAACAGGTGCGCCAGCATCACCTGGGGATCTGTTAGAAATGTGCATTCTCAGGCCCCTCCCTGAGCCCACTGGGTCAGAGACTCTGGGGCTGGCCCACTGGGAGAGGCTGATGCACTCAAGTTTCAGAACCACCTGCCTCTCGTGGTGAGGTGGGAAGCCCCATAAAAAAGACTGGCAGGACCCCCAGGCAGGGCCACTGCTCTCCTGCCAGCACCATCCGGTTCCCTGGCCCAGAGGCTCTATCTTGCTTTTTGCCTCTGAAAGGACTTATG